CCTGATCTCGGTTATATTTTTGTTTTTTGCTAAGTGTGCACATACTTTTGAAACAAAGAAGAAAATTTTCTTAAATAAAAAATTATGTTAGCAGCTACGATGTTCTTTCAGAATAAGTGTTCGTAAGTATCGCACACAAGGAACTGAATGGTCAAGGTCACAGGTTACAAAAAGCAATGGTAATCCCAAAAAAACAAAATGTTGGGTAGGCACATACTTTTGAAACACACTGTATGCCCTTTGGAAAAGAGGCGTCAACTGGTAGACGCAATTTTATGAAGAGTTTGTTTTACTGAATTTAATCACCTGTCATCGTCAGCGAAGATTCGCTCATCGAAGCCGACGTTATTCCTTAGTGAAAGCGATTGACCAGAGCGACTTCTGAACTTTCCTTTGTAGCTGGTTGCATTTCGGGACAGCTTTAATTACTGTTTGGATAATGGTAATTGGCCTAGGAAGCAGTTATCGCTTATTGTAAGACGTCATTTGAAGACTTAACTCCAATTGTAATGACGCCTAGATTAGATAACACTTCGCCCTGCCGGTGAGATTATTCAAATCTATGTTGAATAACCTATTTGTTTTCTCAGTGCTAGAGTTCTTCTAAAAACAAAAAGCTTACGGTAGTGTTTTGATATCCGACAATGAAAGCGGAGTTCCGCTTATCTTAAAAACTATACGCTCAGTTTTGTGATAGAGGTCGCCTTCCCAAGATGTGCCATTTTCAGCGATCACTGAGAGGATCCCTTTCACTCTAAATAGATTCACAAATATATGAAGAATCAGTCGTGATCTGGTCAGCATTCGGAAAGTATCAGATGATGGCAGGAGTGTAGTCAATGGGTAGCGCCTTTTTTGCGAACGCTTAAGCACATACAGTAGCGCTCAAAAATCTTCGGTCAGACGCTTGTTCGTTCGTAACTATTTTCTTGGTGGAGCAAATCGCCCGAAATATTGATATGTATAACTAGAGAATGTTTCACACTATTCAACTCTATTGAACTGCAAAGCAGCAATATTCATTGAGTAAAAGCAAGGTGTTTGTTGCCGTAGCAGACTTCGCTGAAAGCGTGGTTGGCGACGTCTGCAATCATTTGCACCTGGCTTTCCTTCTTCACTGTGTTCGTTATTCACACTCGTACTTTTTCGATATTGCAAAATGTGAAGATATCCTAGAAGGACCAACGTCCGCATTTCCAGTTGATTTGATTGAAGCTCTTCAGATTATCGGGAACATTATGAGAGAGCAGGTTGGTAGTGATCAATATTCACCATACATCTACGCTGTGCTTATTGAAATTTCGCATGAATAGATCCAGTAGGAAAGGAGTAATGACTGAAAAGTACGACTGAAAAAGCATTCGCCGAAGACTCCGAGCGCACTGTATACACGCAAACAAAGAGAACCACCCCAAAGGCACGCTGCCATTCGCAAGCGGTAGGATAACGCTCACCTTTCTGCATCTGGACAATCTTTGGAAGGACCCATCTCTGCTTCAGAAACCCGATCGTATTTATGCACGTCATTAGTGCGAACAGCACACCCTTCTTCACTTTTCTGAATAACAGGTGACTGAAGTCTTAGAAAAAGCTTATTATTTGAAACAATCGATAGTCTGGAAAAAATGATATATGATTATGGGTACGACAGGTTCGACAAACGCTGAGTTCCTTACATATTTCGACCATAACACCTCGACCGCCTGAACGTTCGACCTTCATGGGAGAGCTGTGTGTTTTCATCTCTCGTCATATGAGGGTAGGTTCAGAATCATTATTCAGACAGAATCCGCTTAAGGCACCCAAATCCTCGGAGCTTCAGGCGATTTCATAAAAACCTCATTACTGTGGTCAACCGATGCTGACCAGGCACATATTGAAACGACGGTATTTAACACTACAAACCGGTTCTCATTTCTCCCATGAAGCCCATTCTGTTTGGTTCTCCTACTCCTGTCTCCTACTAAATGTAGCTATTCTCTTACCAAGTCTGCGAAACACGTCGGAGTATAGTCAAGAGACTGCGTCATGAAGCGTTGCGACGTAGAGTACCACGTTCGCGAAGTATGATCGCTTTGTTCATTTCCCACATACACGCATGCATACGCTTCTTTAGAAGCCTCATTCGCCCTATCAGTTTTGCAACGTGACTATCCCTGCACGCGACATAGTTGAGCGTCACCGCGAACAAAACCTTAAAATACCTTTAACTTCGGCTAGACTGGCTCCTCCTTGAATGTGCACTAGATTATCTGGGTGAATGTAGTAAAAGTCACCCCGTTCTTGGCAAATATTGCAAGCAATTCTGACGACTTTATAATATTCTAATACTAGTATTTCCACACTGTTCCACAAAACTGTTAACTTGCTCAGCTCCACTAGCAATGATTAAGGTGGTGGCAGTCGCCTTCGCTACCGTTGTTTCAATGCTAGTCAATATCAATCTCATGAGCAATTGACCCATTCACCGGGAAACTTCGGATTGTGGGAGTAGAGGGACGAAGACATTGCTATTTACAGTGATCTTGAAGGCCAGGCGATATCGATTGGATATAGAATAGTAGTCTTGCGGCGTCAATCAATCCCGTCTAAGGATGCGCCCACGCACTCAACTTTCATTCAGAACCGTAGTAGCGTATTGAATGCTTACGTGGCCTATACAATGATTGGAGGTGGGCAGCTGATGTACGAGTTAGTGCTTTAGTTCTCCTAGACGAGTCTGCTAGCATTGAGCTGACCTCAGAGAAATGGAAGGCCTGGTTCGCCTGTGCAGATATCGATCCGGGATTCGAATTCGTGACCATGCGTATGTGATAGTGCGATACTTGCCACTTCACTAGGTCCTCCTTATCGATTGGGTAATGTTTAAATAAGTAACAATAGTGTCGTGTCGCTCGGGTCCGGGAACATCTCCCCGAAGACGGCGTCGCGCACGCCGCACCCGCCGCGTATCGCAGAATTGCGATGGAAGATTGCAGCGCGCAATTTGTGAGGTAGGGAGTCCTTTAATTATTTGAAATGGCTCGCCGCTCCTTTCAATTCCAGTGCGGTATTGATCGTCGTTTATATAGGAGGGGTCATTCTAATTAATCAAGTCTAATAAACATGAAAACGAAAAAGAGACAGAAGAAAAACGAATAAATCCAATAAAAAAGCAAGGCAATCAACGAAAAATATTGCGTCATATCGATTGGCGGGGGCCGGGTGAGTACGGTAATCGCAGTGACATTTGCCGCATGCCGCAAGGGAGAATGCCGCAATCGGGGAGGGGTTCCGTTACCCGTGTCGCTCGGACGACTGAAAGGACGGCCTGGCGTGGCGCGCCCGCAATCCCGACGGGAAGGCACCGTACGCTACAGAGAGCTAGAGTTTGCCACGTGGCGGCGGACTCTAGCCACTATCGACGATTGCATCATTCATTCGTCGCCATCGTCAACGTCGTAGCCGCCTGCCTTCAACATCTCCAGTGCTATTCGACGCCAACAATATCGACGCAGCCTCCGATGGGTTCATAGCACTACACTATCTTCAAGTGGTGTCAATGCTGCGCAGTATTGAGCGAGATGGAAACACTTGGAAAGATGGTCCGTAACAACCGAGGACCTTGGCGCAGCACTGCCGAAAGGAGGTGGGATGACTTGGATGGCCCCGGATGAGGATCGTACCCAGACCGTAGGTTAAGTGTGGTTGTATTTGTGTACATATTTTCATGCTTTTTCTTATGATATTTCTCGCATAGTAACTTCTCCATTTATTCGTATTTAACCACTCTTTTCGTATCATACAGTGCGTCGCAAAATGATACAGCCACCTCCAATTTTCCCAAAAAACTCGCAGTATATGATGTTTCTGAAAAACTGCCAAGGTAAAAAATGTGTCAAATTTGAATTGCAATTCGCACATTATCACCAAATTCCAGCTCGAAAACACAAACATTTTTTGGTCAACTTTTCATTAAAGGGTGCTTTTCCAACGTCGCCGAATGATACAGCCACTTCTCTTCGTGTCGTTTTTCAGTCAACGCGACGGAATTGCTTCGATTATGTAATGTTCTTCATTTTCAGGCAATGGGAAGAGGAATTTGCTTTCGGAATTCGAATAAGGTCAAATCCTCACGAAGAAGGAGCAGGGACTGTCAAATCGCAGAACCGCGCGAGATTTGGGTCGATGTCACACAGTTTTGGATAATTTAGTCAAAGTCCTGAAGCCTATGGTAAACCAGAAGAAGTGCTGGACGTCCTTCGCTGCTTTCCGACAGAGACAAGAGCCTACCTTGAGGGAAGCATCGAACTCCACTAAGTCCTGTATGGAAATCCGGTCGTTTCCGTCTCAAAAAGCACTGTTTGGAAGGTGGTCAGTAAGTCCAAGTTCATTTTCTAGCGGAAAATGCGCAAAGCGTCTTTCATGACAAAAAGACATCGAGGAAATCGGGTCGCTTTCGCCAGATGGTGCAGCCGAACCGAGTGGAACAAGGTGAAAGTCGGTTTTCCGATGAAAAGAAGTTCAATTGTGATGGTCCAGACTTGAACCGATTTCACTGGCACGATCTGAGAAAAAAAAATTCAATTTTCTAGACGCAACTTCAAGGGATGAGAGTAATGGTTTGGGCCGCAGTTTCATCGAGTAGGCTTACCCGTTTATGATTTGTAACAAAGGAGTTGAGCTCAACCTTTTGTCGGACTGTTACGCGCCGTGCATTTCTCTCTTCTTGGCGTCAGAATCTGCACCGAAACATTGTTTTTATGCAAGATAACGCTCCGATTTACGTTAGCAGGAGCACCCAAGCTTGGTTCTCTCGGCACTTCTGCCCTGAACAGCGAACAGCTCCGGTTTGAATTCGATGGAAAATGTATGGGGCTTCATGGTGCGGAGGATCCACGCCCAAAACAAGCAACTCCGAGGCGTCGAGGAGTTGAAAAAAGCGTTAATCGAAGCATGGCATCAAGTTGCCCAGGAGCTGACCGATAATTTTTTATTCGAGCCTAGACCACCGTATTATCAAAGTAATTCGAAAGAGCGATGGGTCAGCTAATTATTGACTTTGCAACTTTCACTCCTTTTTTTCAGTTTTTCAAAAACATCATATACTGTGAGTTTTTGGTAAAATTAGAGGTGGCTGTATCATTTTGCGACGCACTGTACGTAGCTTACTATAAAATATGTATTTTACAATGTGTGCTGATAATGCGTAGAATGTTGGTAACATCATTTATATCGCAGTTTTTCCTAGCGCTGGAGATAACCCACGTAGGCTCTGAATGGACCGTGCGCCCAGCATCCGAGGGAGCTCGTCGCTGGGCCAGCAACCCCCGTAGCGTACTAGCGTACTGCGAAGGCAGTACTAGCCCGTAGGAGCTCGCACGGGACACTGGGGCAGCCTCAGGCCTACCAAGTCCGTGTGGCAGTTGAGTGCGAGCATGGCGAGTGGGCAGAAGACCCCGGTCACCTAGCTCACACCGCCGGGGACGTCTTGCCGAGCAGCCACCGATGCGGATCGGCCTTGGCGGGACGTCACCAACGGCGCGACAAATAGCTTCCATCATTGGTGGAGCAATCGAATGCACAATCGCATGCGCGTTCAATGATTTATCATTCGAGCCAATCTTAGATCACATTTCAGTCCTCTCAGGTAAGTTAATAGGTACTGAGAGCATGGAAGCAACGATTTGCAAAGCGGCTATCTCTTACAGAGCTTCAGCCTAGGAAAATTCAACGGTATAGTGTTAGAGTTAGTAGGTCATCAAACTTGGTTTATTAACATCGATTGAAATGAACTGAAATTTTTGCCTCAGAGTTACGCGTCATGGTACCATGCATAGCTAACCCTCGAGCCAAGAAATTTATCAGACGCACTCATAAGATCTTTTTCTGACAAGAGCTGGTGCTGAAGAACTTAGAGCGAAGCCAGTTACTGGGCTCTTTTTAATGACACATCACAAGTCAGTCTTTTCAAGCGCGAGGCTGAAACTATTGTCACATATTACAAATAACGACTCTTACTTCAGTTCTTTCATGGTCGCTAAAATTTTCGAAATTCGCAGAAGCGACCGTGTTTACCCGCTCCAATGGGTGGACTTGCATGATTTCCCTCCAAATACTTGATTACAAGTTCTTGGTAGTGGTAGTTCTTGGTAGCCAAATGACTTGCTAGATCTAGTTCGAAAGTATTCTTCAATCGTTTTATTATCTTTCTACTGTTTCTAGTGTTTCGAGGATTTGTCGTAATGGTTCCCTCCACATAGTCTTGATTTTTAGTTGCTGCTAATCCCTTTCCTATCACGATATCTTACCAAAAGAATCGACTTTCGTTCGACGACAATCATATTCTTCCCAACAAGGACGTTCTGTGTAGATTTCTGCTCTTGATAGCCCAGATCATCGATCGTCAACACGTTTACTACGGCTGGTTTTACCTAAAATTAAGTAAAAAATCGTGCAGTGTTACGTTCATTTCTGGTTCATTTTAGAAATCAAGTGGCGCAGTGCGTAGCCCGTCTGAAGAACACATGTGATTGAGGGTTGCGGGCATCGTACCAACGCCAGAAACCCTTCCAGTTATCGTTAGATCGATAAGGGCATCTCTAAGGTTTCATAGTTGTTGTCGACCGCTCCGGAGTTTCTGACACTGGCATGGGCTATTTTGATCAATGATCGGCTAAAAGAACGCCGTGCTGTCTCCTCAATGTGGATACACTCAAAGTTGGCATCAAGCATACGAGGTTGAACATGACTGTACAGTAGTGACTAAAGTATCTCATGAAAAACCTACTTGGACAAGATTTTCTAATTCGGCTTTGCGTTCTTCGGCCGTCATGCCACTAGAATGCAGTATCACATGCGTTGTAATGACGGCCTCGTCACTTTCGGGTTCAACACGGACCGTTTGAAACGAACGGATCTGAGGTGTCAATTATATAATTAATCTTCAGAGTGACTACGAATTTTAAAACAACTCACAAAGAGCGGCGTAACTAAAGTGAGTTTCTGACCAGGAATCTGCAGGTGACTACGGGAACGGGATAAAGAGCGATCACGATTCCGCGACCGACTAGAACGTTTTTCAGTGAAATTACGTAGCGGTTATCACAAAGTTGGCTTTAGACTGGACTAAAAGTGAATAAGTACCAACTGTCTCCTTACCAGTAGCAACTGGACTCTTTGGCTGAATAACGTGATGTAGCTCAAATCACGTGTGGGTCTCGAAGATTATTAACGAACACCGACACCAACGGTAACTCGTAATCGATGGGTAAGGTTGGAACCAATTCGTCTTTGTGCTACATGATTTGACAATGTCACGGTACGCCAAATTTTTGTGTGAGTTTCATGCATGGTCGACAGGCTCATTCGTTCTCACAACATCGCTGACAAAACTTACTCGGGTTACAAGAGACTTGTAAACACTTCATATATCAACTACGCCATTAAACTTACTGTGGGTTTCTTGGAAAAATTTGAAATTTCTTGAAAGGTCTACTAGCATCATCAAGCTCTATACACTTTAAGCATATGTTCTACAAGGATGTATAGTTGATTTGAAGGGGAGCTCACCTTTTTCTAGTCGTGTGCGACAAAGCTGTTTGGGAAACTGCCAAAGGACCCTCATTGTTATCCCATGCAAGCTGTAAGGCCTGTGCACGATCTTCAACTTGTGTGGGACCTTGGTCTCGGTCTGCTGCAGCGCCGACGCGCATTTCCTCCGATCCAGAGTCAACCAGGGGTTTTTGTTGATTTTCCCGCAACATTCCATCATCGGATACATTCCTTCCTGAAATGTAGGACAACCGTTCAGCACTGCTTTTTTTCGATCGCGCCGTGTCGCCGTAATTGTCATACCTTCCTTTGCTGTCTTCATCGAGCGCTCCTTGAGCTTCTTCTTGCTACGCGAACGGGCGTTCTTGGCAGAAGAGGCGTTGGTTTTGAAAGACACCTTGCTTTTTTTACGCTGAAACTCTAAGCTTTACTCTTACAAAGAACATAACAATAAGTAAACGCATAGTTACCTTCTTCGACGTCTTGGCTTTTCTGGTGCCTCTCTTAAACCCCCTGGAGTCTGTGCTACTCGATGAATCCCTGAAAGTAAGTTGAATTAACTCAGGGAAGCGGGATAAGATTTCGACTCCATTACCATTCGAGGAAGTAAATCCAAAAAAATCATGTTCAATCTTCGTTTTTACGAGGTTCTAATAGTTATAGAGCATGGTCGGCAAACAATATGAAAGCACTTGGGTCTGTTTATGCAGCTGTTGATCTTATTGGTAAAATCCTTCTTATTTATAAAGCAGTAACTTGGTGTGTCGGTTTGTAGGTTTGTAGGTTTGTCGGTTTGTATTTCTGTCCGTCCGAGAAGTATGATTACGATAAAGGTAGTGATACGGAAAACCTAGCTCTATCCTACACTTCCTTCTTTTGGTGAAGCAGTGAATTGGTGGGTAGGTGAATGTAGTGCTTGGAGAAGCGAATGCTTCGATATGATGACTTCGAGCTTATCCCACATTTCCTTCCTTATGTATATGAAGCAGTAAGATGGTGGGTTAATGGGACGAATGCTTCGACATTGTGGCTTCGATCGTTACTGGCATGGTACTATGTTTTCCTATGAAGAATGTGAAATTTGCTTAATCATTCTCTACCCTTCTAATCCTGTCTAATAACCCACAGTGAAATTACCTTCAGCCGTGAGGAGAAAAAGAACCGAATTTTTATTGTTGTTCACAACTGTTGATATGCCACTATCAAATTCCATGGCCCCTCCTCCAATTGACATATTTTGGTGGTCGGATTGTTTTCGTTGCAAGAGATATCTGAATGTAGAAAATACACAACACCTTGGGGGTCACAACATCCTACTATATGCAATTCGCTAAGTGTGTCTGTCGGTTCGTCGGTGTGTTTGTGTGTGTGTGT